GTCTAAGATTTGTTGACATTTCTCGCAGGGGCAAAATGAATGGAGTAATATTGTGGAGAGTTGGTCTGGCACTATGGGGAAGCAATCCTACTCTTATCTTATTAAAAGCAACAACACTGTTAGTTTCACCTGGGGTTTTCAGCGTACTGGGATCTTCAGCATGGTAAGATTAAACCGCAATCTCTTCTTTCCTGTTTGATTTTTACTTTTTTACTGTTTACTGAGGTTTTAGACTCTAAAACGCTTTTGATGATCTATGGCTATGTGTCTGTCTTACAGAAAAATGAATACAGCTCTGACTATGCTAAGATCTACTCTGTTCACCTCACTAATATGATTGGGGGTGTGTCTTCAGAATGTCGTCAGTGTGCTCTGGCTGCCGTTGACTCTGACTCAGCCTGCGTGCCCTGCCCTCCAGGACACTACATGCTGAACGGCACTGGAGTGTGTAAAAGCTGTCCCTCAAATACCATCATCAGGCCCGAGCAGCCAATCGGAAAGCAAGCCTGCATACCTTGCGGACCCAATACTTACAGTAATGAAGTAAGCATTATTTTTTTTAAACAAAAGAAATTCAACTTTTAAAACTCGTCTCTAGACCATGTGCTCTTTTCTATTCCACAAACATGTTCTGTGTGAACAGCCCCCCCCCCACTATTTGTAAATAGTACAAATTATATTATTTGTAAATAATATAAATATTGATTTTCACAAATCATGCACTTTCTAACTATTTTATATATATATTCACTTCTGTTACATATGCTTGTCCTCTCTGTTCACAGGGCCGTTCTGCATGCATGAGTGACTGTACATTAGCACTGCATCATAAAGGAGAGATGCTGAATTATGATTTCTCTCCGCTGGCAAATGTCACAGGTTTCCAGAGCAGCCCACGCTTCACCAGTAAAGGGCTGCAGTATTTCCACCATTTCAGTGTGGCGCTGTGTGGGACAGAAGTAAGAGAATAAATTAGACCACATTCAGTTTTTATGAATGACTAAAGTGTAAAGTATGTAGTGAAGTCTGAGTTGTAAAAATTCAGAATCAAGCTTTAATATGTGTCTTTCTGTCATTTAGAACAGGGCTTTTGCATCCTGTTTGGAAAATGTGACTGAAAGCAAGAGGGATGTAAAAGGCTACATTTGTCAGTCTACTGTAGTGCCTTCTGAGGTCAGGGGTCAGAGTGTTGTGTCCTCTCAGCCCTTCAGTATTGGAGATAGTTTAATCGGTGAGTGCTACCAATGCTTTGAAATCTCTATCAAATACACATATCCCAGTGGGTCCTGTGGATTCATCAAATGTAAAATTTTTATACTCAGGAGTGACTACTGACTTTAAATTTGATGACATCTCATCATTGGATGGCAACTTTCCTGTTGAATCAGAGCTGCCTGATGTCATATTCTACTACAAGTGAGTGTACTTGCTTACAATGATCTGTGTTTAGTTTATTCTAATGCTTTTATTGTTTTCACAAAGACTTTTTGTTGACCTCAAATTCAAGTATCTCAGTTTATTTAGTTCAGACTTATCTGATATTCTTCCCATTATGGTGTCAACAGATCTAGAGAAACTACGCAAGCATGTAAAAATGGAAGATCTGCCTCCATTAGGCTCCGATGTGATCCCACTGTAACACTGAAGAACCATGTTTCGCTTCCAAGGTACAATATGAAAATTGCTTCATATTGTCTGTCAATCTGTCTATCTGTCTATCTATCTGTCTATCTATCTATCTGTCTGTCTAATATCGGTCTTTATTGGTTGTTTTCTGTGTGTGTGTGTGTGTGTGTGCGTTTGGTATAGCAACTGCTCAGAGGGCACCTGTGATGGCTGCTCCTTCCATTTCCTGTGGTGCTCCCAGTATGCCTGTCCTCTCTGCTCCGAGAGGAACATTAAGGAGATTGTGAGCGCTTGTATCCAAGGAATTCAGGTATATGTCAACTCACATCATGATAAACCACGCAGATTCTGAATGAGACTATTTTCCCACTGAATGTTTTTATTTTACCATTTATTAGCTAAATGTGTTTGTTTCTCAGAGGACTACTTATGTGTGGCAGCAACCTCTGAGGTGTACAGGTGGGGTGTCACTGCCTCCTCAAAAGATCAGTGCCTGTGTGACACTAGACTTCTGGCTGAAGTTTGGCGTCTCTATCGGAACTGTTGCCGCCATATTGCTCATTACCATCAGCTGCTACTTCTGGAAAAGGACACGCAAGTGAGAGTTCATTACTGAAAGTTATATTTAAAAATGAGACCAAAAACTGTTACTTTAACATCTAGTAATAAAACTGTTGAAGTGGAAAACAAAGCAGCATACATGTGAAATGACCTATAGGCTTAATTGGGTCTAATGAAATTGTACATAAAGTTTGATAAATTGTTGATAGAAAAGTTTTTTTTTCCACTATATTGTTAAATAAAATAAAATATAACCTAGATGTTGTTAAACTTTTTTTTTAAAATAATATTTATTTGTTTGTTTGTTTTTTAGCCCATTGCGTCTGGAATTTTAGGCTTTGGCCAAGACTATATCATGTATCTATATTGATAACATATTTTGATCTATTCATCTCCACTCAAAAGTAAAGTGTAGTGCTCAATCTCATAATTCCATGAATTTAAGTGTAAAATCATAGTAGCTAACTGTACTGTACAACACTGACTTTGTGAACCAACGAAATTAGACAAAAAGAACAACAAAGGTGGATATGAAATTGTTCTTTTATCTCTATAAGCCCAATTGTAGATAAATTAGGGATAAATGAAGGCTGCTGCATGTATAAGTGTATTCATGCCCTCTCTTTAGGCTGCAGTATAAGTACTCAAAGCTAATGATGACTGCAGGAGATAAGGAGTGTGAACTTCCAGCGGCAGATAGTTGCGCCATCATGGAGGGAGAAGATGCAGAGGATGACCTCATCTACCTCTCCAAGAAGTCTTTCTTCACTAAGATCAAGTCATTTTCCAGAGAGGTAAGGAGGTCACAAGACAGACTTCAGCTTGGCCGTACTATTAACTCTATAGCTATATTCTTGATGTAATGGACACTATACATGTTTTAATGTTACAATAATATTAGCATTAACAGGCATTTCTTGACAAAGTTCTGTTATTTTACAGAGAACGTCAGATGGCTTTGATTCTGTTCCTCTAAAATCATCAGCTGCACAGGAGATGGAGATGAACTAGATCTTCTCAGATATGGGGAGAGCCAGCAAGAAATGTTTGGCCTGTCACAAGACATCCTCGACGCTATATTTGACAATATAACATCAATACATTTATTCCCAAAGAGACTGAGCAAAGACAAAATATTGAAAAACAACTCTGCCTTATTCAAGTCACCTCATAAACCTGTGATTGTTTCAGTTGCATCTCCTCTGGATTCAGCAGACCGGAGGCAAGACTGGCATAAGAAGATTTTAAAATATTTTTTATATAAAAGACCTATATCATTGTGTATATTGGCCTACACATTTTTTTTAATACCAAACACATATGCTTGTGAAAGATAATGCTGGAAAATTTGCATAGCATTTATTTGACACGCCATTTTGTGATATATATCAAATATGTTTTTTTTTCTCTTCATTTGGGCCAGTGAGCTGTTTTCTTGAGTTGAGAGCTACACCTGCAAGTGCTTGCCATATGTTGCATTTTTCATTTTTTTTAAAGCGTTCAAATGTTTTGGCATACTAGCATTTATGTTGTGCGTACCTTTTTTGTTATTTTTGTTATGTTATTTGTATTTTAGGAAATGCCATCTTGTTTGTAATGGGTTTCTTAAAGAATATAGCCTACTTGATAAAGCTAATGTGTCCATTGTTTATTAAATCTTGAGATTAACTATAATTACTCCAAACTACAACAAGAAATAATATCAATAAGGACAAGAATAAAAACGCAAATGTCTAGCTTCTATTTCCTATTAAAAATAATTTATCTTGCTGTGTAATAAAGTCTGTCATTGCAGTGGCTCAGTGACCGTTTCCATAGTAACGTACGTAAGCATAGGGCGAATTCCAAACGGCTTTTTTTGCGCCCTTCAAGGGCACTTCGGGAAGGGGACGCCATTTGTATGGACATTCCAAACGAAAGTGAACAACTGAATCCCTTCACGAAGGGCCCCCTCCAGAAGTCCGTTAGCGAAGGGAACATGCGATGGTCACTTCACGGAAGTGATTTCCGTTTGTGATCATGTGATCTTCAGTTAGGAGATCTTGCGATGCATTTTAAAGCAAAGTTGGGGTTGATTTCGACTTCACATACAAACGTAAGTAGGGTAGGCTGATTAAATTTGTCTTTATTTTAATCTGATACAAAATAGTTTTTGTCAGTGATAAAAATATGATTTAAGACGGTAGTTTAAGCATGTTTAGTTTGAAAAAGTTTAATAGTAAATAAGACACAGTGAGACAATATTTAAATAAAATAATAATTACTAATGGAGTGCTGAATGCTGCACGCACGCGCAGCGTTGTCAAGGTAACGTTTGGTCAGTCATCCCTTCGCCGAGGGAGGTCCAAATGCTTATACGAGACAGTAATGCCCTACACCCTTAAAAGAACACACTTCAAAGGGCTCGGCCTTTCGAAGGGAGTAGGGCATAGGGATGCTCACTTCTGTTTGGAATTCGCCCATAATATGAGCCCCTGCAGCTCCAGAATCATCAGATAGTTGTCTGAAGCGCCGAAAGATGCCGAAAAAGAAAGGAAGCAAGGGCAAGGGAAAAGGGTAAGGATGAACGATGACGTTTCAGGCGATTTATACAGTCAGCCTTTGACGTCCTCGCTTTCTCTAATTTTCTTCACGCTTTACGTCTTTACAGAAAAGGTAAGAAAGAAGGTAAGCAGGAGTCCAAAGCCGACAGGGAGTCAGAGATCGAAAAGTTCAAATCAAACGCTGCTTTATGGGAGGCGAAGTTTAATGTCACGGAAATTTCGTTTATCGAGTATAGCGAATCAACTCGCGCGCTCGCCAAAGCCAATGAGCAGCTCGCGAACCAGCGATATAGAGCCGAGAAAGACACAAACGATATTATTGCTTTTCTTGAAGAGAACAGACCTTGAAAAGACAGCAACGGTTAGTCTGCCTTCGTTATGTTACATCTCTTATCATTTATAAGGCTGATAAACATTTCAGTTTATCCACCTGTGCTGTTCATTAACTACAAATTTTTCTCCTATAAGATTGCTGCATTAGAAGAGCAACTGAAAAGAGAAAAAGCAAAAGCTTTACAAGAGAAAGACCTTCTGGTAAGCATTGAGATACTGAGTTATTTTCCAAATGAATTAGCATTGTGTCAAGCTGTAACAGTTGAATTTCAAGAAGCTGTTATCATGCAAGACTTGAATTTCACCCCTCATTCGTTTCAATTGACTGGTTGTTGCAGGTGGCTGAATACATGGAGAAGATTGATGCTTTAGAAGAGAGGTTTAAGCAGAGGTCAAGTGACTTCCAGAGGATGCAAGGTGAGCTCAAAACCATTAAGCATTTTCGCAAAATAAAGGCCAATCTGGAAGAAGACCTAATCAGTGTACTGCACAGTTATTACTAATAACTATTTAATGTAGAAAGCAATATAGATGCATAAAAACATCTAAAGTGATTCTTGTGCTTTTAGATGAGAGAAAAAATTTATATCGCTTACCGTGGACACCAAGAGAGTCTGGCGAGAACAGAATACAAGTTCTACACAGCACGGGTGAGAAAACCCAGATGCAAAATATTTTATACATCCATTCATAAATAAGACATTATAGATTATGCATAGAAACATTTCAGAAAGTGCATTTACCATCATATTTAAAATCCATTTGTTAAGGATTGTTAGATACTTTAGATACCATAAGTGCCATTAAAATACACGCTAGAACAGTCAGCGGTATATTTTTCTATATAGATTCACTTTGAGAAGGAAGCGGAGCAAAAGATCACTCAGCTTGCAGAGCAAGCGCATCATGAAGCTATTGCATGAGCAGCTATTCTTTTAATTCTATTATTGAATCCATTGCTCATTCCAGTCATTCAGATTAAAGACTGCATATAAGACCTTTGTATGTGTATCATTTGTGTTTATTGAGTCAAATCTTCAGTTTTTGCTCCCAACAGGCAGCTTGGTACAGCATCACATTCTGTGTTCAAGGAGAATGTACGGTTGAATGAGGCACTGAATTATTATGTGAAAGAGGCGGAAGAACTGAAGAGGACCAATGTAGCCTTGACAGAGAAGAATGCTTCTCTTGCTCTCTTAAAGGGGCTATCACTAACAGACAATCAGGAATTTTAGGAGTCAGTTTCTATATAGAGTATTTAATTAAAGCGTAAGCTTAATGAAATCAAAGTACAATTTAACCTTGTAAAACCTGACATATGAAGAAATGGAAGAGTTTACTGACCCCCCCCCCACCCACAAAAAAAGTCTGCATATTTGTTTTTTGATATAGTGATATATTTAGATTATGGAGCTCTCACTCGAGAAGGAAGAGAATGCATCAGTTTTATTCAGAGGCCCAAACTGCACAAAAATATGCAATTTGGTGCCGATATTGTTATTAGTAAGATGATATTTAAATGCTTAGTTTTATGATCAAAGTTTTGTAGTTATTGTGTGTGCAAAACACGATGCAATTATGATTGAAAGATGTACAAATAAGCGTTCCTCAAAACCCTGATGTATCATATTTGATTCTCACTTTTCAAAATGATTTTTTTTTAAATTATGTATGGATAATCATGTAAACTTAAGTTGCTTCAGTACATTACGTGTTTATATTAAAATATTACTAACAATATGAATTTTCTTATTATATTAAAATTACGTTTACTGAGAGAGAAATTTGTGTCAAATATGATACAGTAGGCTTTATAGAGTCAACTAAGCTAGCTTTCAGAGATGCTTAGGTTTGCCATTGTTTTCATCACATTGCATCTGTCCAGTGATGTAGACTGACTCTCCAACTGATTCATTCTGCAGGAGACGAATGAACTGATGAGAAAAGAAAGCGATTCCCAGCTGAGATCCCAACAAAATGAGATCTCTGAGCTGAGGGCTAAATTGGTCACACTTGAGCAAGCTCTGGGCATCATGTCTGGGGAGTTTGAGCAGGAGAGAGAAGAGGTGGAGCGGCGTGCCATGGTCAGCATGCAGGCCAACAGCACAGACCTCGAAAGGTTGGAATTGCTTCTAGCTGCCCGCGAAAAGGAGCTGGGCCAAGTGAAATGGCTGGCTCAAAGCATCATCGAGCAGCGTAAAGAACTTGAGCTTTTCTTTCATGAAACTCTTGACCATGTGAGGAAGGAAATAAGAACACAACAACAACTCTTCAGGTTTGCTCAAGTTATGAAAACTAAACACTGCTCTGTGAAATATCCTTTACTAGGGCATTTTGAAGATTCAGCTTCACATTTGGAAGTGCTTCACGCATTTGAAGATGATCTTGTATGTAGACAGGAGGCTCTGAAGGCATATTGCTGGAGAATGAATGAGGCTCGGGCTGGAAGGTTGGAGTATCCTCGTATAAGGACCTTCTCTAATGCCCCGCACAGCACCAACGATGTTCAGACTGACCTGGAAGAAGCTGACAAATGGTGTGAGAGCTTTTAGTGCAGAATTACTAATTGCTCTTAAGGTACATCACTAATCAAGTTGACTATGATGATGAAAATGGTCTGGTGTCATTTTAGGAGCAACTTGAAAAGCTCCAGTGTGGATATTTCTGATCTAACATGGGAGCAGAAAGAGAGTGTACTCAATATGCTTTTTGTTAAATTGAATGGGCAAAAAACAAGGTAAATAGATTTATAATTATTACAAGTAAAAAAAAAAAATATATATATATATACACACACACACATATATAAATACACACACATTATATATGTTATATTGAGAAAACTACAAATTAATACAAAATTATATATATTTTTAAAATATAGTTTACTGGATGGAATTCAGTATTTATTTTGAATGTTATTGTTAACCAAAATATTTATTTTAATTTTATTATTAAATATAAAAATTAACATTAAAAACACAGAAAGTGATATCCATTGGAATGTGCGTAGGATCCGAATGGGTAAAAAGGGATTTGGATATTGCACTGTTGTTCTGTATGGAAGACATTTGCCTGAAATGACAGTACCAAATAAAATTAAATTAAACAACAACAGCACTGCAACATTTGTTTTTAGCACTGCCATTCCATCACTCAATGAAACAGCATCCAGAATTCAGATTTAGATTCTCTTAGGCCTGGATTTCTTTGCATTTCACATAGGGCTGCACAATTAATCGAATTTCTAATCACGATTACAATTATGGATGCCACAATTATGTAATCATTCAAAGTGGCAATTAATCGTTCAAAGTCCACTTATGTTATTCTGCATGCTTAAGATGCGTTTTTTTCTTTCTACATGTTATCTTAAGAGTTTTTCCATTGTTTTAATTTTAGTTTTGACCCCTTTAAAGAAGAAACCAATCCGATGTTTAGTTGACATTTGAGGCTTAATACTATGGAAAAGCACAAAGTTTTTCAGTTAGAGTGTTTTCAGCTTGTTTATTTTCATATAAAAATACGGCATGCAGTTGCATCAAACAATGGTATAAACATCATTCAATGTAAATTGTGATAATCGTAATTAACAATCGCAATTACAATTTCAAGGGAATAATCGACAATTTTGATTTTTGTCATAATCGTGTAGCCCTAATTTGACAAATTCCTTGAGGCAGTTCAGGGTCCCAAATGCTTAGGGATTATTTCATCCTTGTGTGAAAGTGTCCTGGTTTCTGTAGTGACAGACAACACAGTGCTAAGTAGCTTTCGTGGCTCTCTTCAACTTTACAATTAAACATATTTTGTTTTGTTTTTTCTTGTTTTCTTTACTCCCTGACAGGAAACCAGCCCATCTTCCAGCTTTATTTTGCTGCTATTTTGCTGTCTTTTAAGTGCTAAGTCAAACCATTTTTCCTTCACAGATTTACTGAAGAAAAACGTAGCCTGACCTTTATAACCATTTATAATGATGACCTTTATAATGATGCCAATGCCAAATATGAACTCTGACCCCTGTGTTCTACCAGTCCTTAAGAGCACCTAACTGTAAAACTTTTCATATAGTAGGCCTATTATATTCAAATATTTCATTTTAAAAATATAGGACAAGACTGTAATGGAATTCAATGCAGTAAAATCTCCAAAATATATTTCATGGATCTTAGATTTTAAGGCACAATTAAAAACACACATCTTCAGACAAATATCTTCTCACCCTTCTCCAACCACTGATTTATTTTGTTATTGCTCTATTAGGTTCAGACCTGCAGTGCAGTGTTAATTTATGATCTTTTTTCTCTGCTCATTACTGCATTCTGTAGCTATATTGTTTGTTTTTCTTTTTATATCATGATTCTATATAATAATTTTTGTTTTTTTCTTTATGTTTTTATAAAGTGACCTTGAGTGAATGCTTTTCTGTATAAATAAAATGTATGTTTTAATGTAAACATAAATCTATAAATAACTATAATATTATATATATATATATATATAATTATTATTATTCCATTAAAACAAATTAAAAATATAGGTAGTCTTCATGATGTCTTGGTGAGTTTTACACCATCTTCCATTATGTACATCAATATGTTCTCTTATGTTATTATGCATTAAATTTAAAAGTAAAATTCAAACCACTTAAAAAGTTTTAGGGTGGTATAAATATCGAATTCAGAGACTTGCATTAAACGCTGCACAAAACGTTGTAGTACATCAACAATCTGTGTGTTCCTCCTGTGAATATGTACATAGGGGGCGCGCTTGGGAACTCACTTAGCTTTTTTTATTTTTTTTACTGTGACTTTCATTTGTAGCAGCAGGGAGAGACGCTGACGGGATAGTGCTCGAAATCACCGCGACCCGGAACCGAGCAACTTCTCACATTCCAAGAATATTCGGAGCCGCTGGCATGAACTAAACACATCGAGGTGGTTCGTTCTTTAGTACCCGCGTGCACGCTCGACTTTATCGGTCGTTTACTTTCCATTTTTGATTGTTGCACGAAAACAACCGCTTTGAATCACAGGCAGGCAAGCCAGGGAAAGCAGAAGTCTCAACTCGCCTCGGGCGCTCGTTCTGCAGGCATGTCGCAGAAAGAAAGACCCACTTTCTATCGACAGGAGGTCAACAAGACAATATGGGAGGTCCCTGTGCGGTATCAGAACTTGTCTCCCGTCGGCTCTGGTGCATACGGATCTGTTAGGTAAATATGTATCTGTTGTTTCGATGGCGGAACGATGTG